CAAGATTTCTTTCTATAACATACCTTTTCAACAGTACTATCTCTAGAGAATAAGTCATTTTATAATATATATAGATTATAAATACAACAATTTAGCGATAAACTTTTATGAACTTAAATGCTGATTTCATAAAAATAATGCTACAAAATTGTCTCATTCGCTTAATTGTTATTGTTGTGTAATATATCCGCGTGCTGCTACTTTTTGGGAATTTGATAGACGATTTTTTTATAGAAAGAATGTACAAGTAATATTTACCACTGATACGAATCATCTATTGAATTTTCCTATAGCGTAGATACTAAGAGATGATCTTTTCATCAGTACGTACATAAAGAATAATAATCTTTTAATGTACCTTTATAATACGTATAGAAATTGCTTTTAGAAATTTGATGCTTTTTTTTTTTCGGAGGTTTCCAAAATTCCGGCTCGGCAATGATTAATAATCTTTTGGTCAAATTTCGAATGACGATCAGGGATCCCGAATTTTAAGGATCCCCTATCGCTATTGAATTTTCCTATAATGTGAATACTAAGAAAAGTTTTTTTTTCAGTAGTGTTAACTAACAATCTTTTTTAATTTACTTTTCGAGTTTAGCGATTTCACATATAGTTAATATACACTCCACCTTCATTATAGCGGACCCTGTTAAAGCGATCTCTCACTAAAATAGTGTGATTCTATAGACAATTTAAGATTATTGTATTATGTTGTAATACTATAACTAATATTCATCATAATAATTTGTACCTCTCAGCCTGATTAATATGTTATAGCGAGGGTAGAATGTATATAATAAAAGAATGATGCTTTTTAAATTAATTACTATATAAGGAGCTATAGCATACCTTCTAGGTTTATAATTTACATGCAATACGGTACTGACGAAAAGATCTAAAGAAATTATGCTAGAAGAAATAAGAAATATATTATTAATTGGTCGTACAGGTCAAGGGAAGTCAACCTTAGCCAATGTAATAGCAAATGGAGAGAAAAACTTCGAAGAAGGAAGTAAAATCGAAGAATTTTTTAAAGAGAGCGGCGGTTTTCTTAGCCAAACTAGAAAAGTTCAAGCAAAAATCGTTACTTTAAAGATGGATGTAGATGGAGAGAAAAAGGATATAAAATATCAAATCATTGACACTGTGGGAATTGATGATACAACATTGAGCAAACGAAAAGTGCTAGTTGAAATAGCTAAAGGATGTAAAAAGGTCAAAAAAGGAATAAATCAAATTTTATTTGTATGCGGAGAAAGATTGACACCGCAAGAAATTGAAGCTTATAACATATTAAGAAGAATTCTTTTTGACAATAGGATTGACAAAAACATTACTAAATATACTACAATTATTCGAACGAAATTCGAAAATTTTGGTTCTAGAGAAGAATGTGAAAATGACATCCAAGTATTAGTTAAAGAGAAAAATGAAACAATTAATGAAATGATCCAATCATGCAATAAGAGAATTATTCACGTAAATACTCCATCAATAAATATAAAAGGTGAAGGAGTCCAAAACCAAATTAATGTTAATAAAGAAGCTCGTAAGAGAGCTAGAAAAATATTAATAGATCATTTAGCGACTTGTAAGGATATTTATAGGCCTAAGAGTTTGAATGAGATAGACCAAAGAATTAATGATTCATTAATAGAAGAAAACGAAAGTTTGCAAAAACAACTGGATGAATTGCAAGAACGACTAAATAAATTAGAAAGATCGACATCGGAACAATTCAATGTTGAAGAGTTTCTTAAAGATTATGAGAGAAAAAGGGAATGCAGTGAGCTAGAAGAGAAAATAGATAAAATATTA